TGTGAGTTCGAGGCCAGCCTGGTCTACAAAGTGAGTTCCAGGAAAGGCGCAAAGCTACACAGAGAAACCCTGTCTCAAAAAACCAAAAAAGAAAAAAAAAAAAAAAGCACTTTCTATCATGCCTGGTATCCTGAATTACTCCTGGGACTCACATAGTCAAAGGGAAGAACAGACTCCCATAAGTTGTCCTCTGACCTCCACAAACTCCCCCATATACACCCATCCAAAGAAATAATGTAAGTTTTTAAAAAGACAAAAACAAAACAAAAAAAAAAAAACAAGAAACTAAAAACCCAACACACAAAGCAAAAGAAAACGAATCGAATCAAGTCAAGGGAAAGGACAACACCAAACTGCTATACCTGTCATTAAATTCTTCACATAGTCTACAGTTAAAATAAACTCCAACGGGATAAAAAGCAAAATGAGAGAAGCTATCTTTCCAGGCGAGCCCGGGTTAAATACAGTGCTTTAAAACATTCAGCCTTTCCGGGTCATCTGCCCGGGGACTCCAGTGTGAAAGAACCGTAGGTTAGCTGAGCAGCTGCACTTTAAAGGCAGTCCAGGCTAGCACTCGGAACTCCTAACTGGCCTCTCGGGAGCTGCGCATCTCCAGCTTTCTGAATCCTGCAAGCCGTCTGCAAAACCTATGTGTGTGTGTGGGCGGGGGAGGGGGGACAGAATATATTTACTGTGGAGTTGTGGTGCACTCAAGGGCATGCAAGGGTACAGAAGTGGGGTATCACAGAGTCCCTGGCTACACCCTCTCATGAGAGCAGGAGAGCCCCTAGCTGTCAGTTCTGGGGACAGGGAGGGCATTCTAGGCATAGGAGTGCTGCTGCTTGATGGTTACAGTTTACTCTTTTGAATTTGTACAGTGTCTTAACTCTGATTAGTTCCAGCTCAGCAGCTTAACAAGAATGGAGCCGTCTCTAGACTCCGTGCATCAGGCAAACAGAACAGCACAAAGACAGGTAAGCAGGAAACAAGCTACAGAAATAGAAGGTTCATCCGGGTTCAGCTGCAGTCTAATTACCGGGAGGTGTGCAGCCCTTTCTGGCGAGTAACAGCCACAATGTTTCAAGTGCACCCTCCACTGCCAAAGAAGCAGTGTGGAAAGAAGTTAAGAACCTGAGGAAGTGGGCATGGTAAGAGCCAAGGCTGATTTCTGGGCAAGGCAGTTTCTGCACGCTTGCATTCACAACAGCGGTGACTACCTGCACAAGCCTGGGCCTGTCAACACTCTGCCAGGGAAGGGGAAGAGGCTCATGGGACCCTACCCTCCCTGAGGATTTATACAGCTAACAGTTGATAGGGAAAAGAGATATTTTCATCAGTGGTGTAGACCCTGGTAAAGTGCCCATCCATGTCCTTGTAAACAAACTCTTACCCATGTTCCCATAATCAACCCTAATGAAACTCACTGGGTCACTGTCTGTCTGACTGTCTGTCTGTCTCTGTCAATAAAAAAAAAAAGGACAGGTAATAAAGAAAATTCAAATGTATATATCCTGAGACTTAGATTACCAATTATATTTCTAGAAATTTTGGTGTTTTTATTTGCCATTGTCCTAAAATGTTGTCTCTCTCTGCCTCATGCTCCCAAGCACTGCAATTACATGTCCATGATATATATATATATATATATATATATATATATATATATTCCCCAAAGACAACTTGTGTGTGTGTGTGTGTGTTTAGATGTAAAAGGATGTTCACTTCAACAGTGCTTGCAGGAACTGAAATTAATTCAAACAACAACAAAAGGTAAATGGACTAAAGAGAATACAACTATTTTTTAAGGTGGTAATGGTGTGTGCTTTGGAGTTGTCGCTAATGCATCATGTTAAATGCATGTTAAAATAAGAGTATGCAACTAATATTTTCAGTAGAAGACTATGACCACACATGTATGTAGAACAATACAGAAGAAACTGATTAAGTGAAACCCTAGTCTAGTGGAAAGAGAAGGGATTTTGTGGACTGTACGAATGTATTACTTTTATCAATTAAAGACAGCCACCCAGAAATTCTACTATATATATGAACTAGTAGGCAAATTCCTATTACACCACCACCCTGCCTCCCAGCCTATCCTCTCTACCATCCCATATTTCTTAGAAATTTTAGGAGATGTTTTGTTGGCTCCGTTGGCATAGATATCTAATTCGTGCCTGAGTTGGGCCTTTGGGGGGAGGGTGTATGGAATCGGCACTGGAAACATCTTAGGAATGGCTTATAAATCAGCTCATAAATTTGCTCCACAGATATCAGAAAGGAGTCCGGGCCAATTTTCTTTGGACACATTTCTATAGCATTATCTACCCCATCCAAAGAAGGGAGAAAAGAGAGGAAAGACGAGAGAGTGGCAGAAGAAGGGAGAGAGAAAGTTCTAACCTTGGAGGGTTTGTATCCAAACAGCATTACAATCGCAACCTTAAAGTCCTCTCGGCTTAAGTACCCTTTGTTGTCTTCATCACATGCTTTAAATACCTAAGGAATATTAAACATCCACAATTAGCCAGAAACCAGAAACACAAACATCTAAAACTCATTCTGGTTGTGGGGCTTTTAAAATGCAGTTTCATAACCCTAGTTTTAATTCTCAAGCAATATAAACGCTGAGTTAAGATCGTCTCTCTGGCCCCCACCCCCAGAGTTTCAGCGGCTTGATCTCTAGGCTGACAAATCAATTCCTCTAAACCACTGAAATAAACCACGCCAAAGCTCAGTGACCCTGGATTCGGAAGGTGATGCAAAGGGGGTGGGTAGGAAGAGAGAAGCTAATGCAGACGGAGGTGTGGCGGGCAGGGAAGTGATCAGTCCTGCAGCTGTGACTTGGTTGTAAGCACAGTTCTTTTCAGAGCCCATTAGAACCTGGCTGAGGGAGACCCAAGAGTGGTGACCGAAGTGGCCCTGGTCAAGCTGAGTCCGAACTCGGGTCGCGCTCCCACACCTACTTCCACCCATTTCCTGCGTTCCGAGGCGGTGGCTTCGCAAGTCCGCGGCCTGGCGCCTGCCTCTGACGGGAACATCGCCACGGACAGCGACACTAACACGGCCCAGACCAACCCAGGCAGCTCCACTTCTCCAGAGGGAGCTCGAACAGCCCACCGCGGCCACGCCCACCACCACTGGGACTCAACTTCACCGCGCAACTCCAACGTCTCCTCCCATTGGCCAGCCTCAGAGCCACTGGCGTTGATTTCGTAGTGTCATTGGTCAAACGCGCTGTTTAACAACAGGGAGGAGCTCCCAAGGCTCGCCCCCAGTGCTTAGTTCCGCCCCTTCTCAGTTTTCTTGACCCCTTGAACGCCGCTGAAGGAGCTTGGGTGACTCTCGATGCTTTTTAAAACATGTTCTGATTGCTTTCAGGCTTTCTACCAAACTTGCAATAAACTCTCTTTGATTATCTTGGCCCACGTCTTTTCTAGACTTTGTAGGAGACACAAAATAATGTGAAGAAAGCACACACGCACACGAGATTAAGTGAAGTCCCAATATTCATTTTTAAATGCACGGCGATCTCAGGGCAGCTACTAGGTTTATTTTCGCCCTCTTGGTAACCCCAGCACTTAGCACAACGAAGACAAACGAAACGATCCGTTAGAATGTTTACACAGAATTAATCAACCTCCGGGAAGCCATGAGGCTGACTCAAGGAATAGCCCAAGCATCCCACAGCAGACATCTTTATACAAGAGGAGGAATGTGCACTAGAACTTCGTTTTCCAGACTGACTTATCCCAGACTCCTCTACCCTTCTGGCAGATCAGTGAGATTGACAAAAACACGCCCGTTTCAAAGGAGAGTCATTCGAGGTGCTGAGCTTTATGGGAACTCATTTAACTTTTTATCCTGCAGCAGATGCTAAAGTCTGAAGCAGCTGCCTTTTACTTCAGCTCACCTATCTCCGAAAGCACGCTGCCGTCTTAGCCCTGCGAGCCTGAGACTGCCTAAGAGCAGCCCCAGAAAGAGGGCGTCGTCTGCTAATTAACAACCAGAGAACCAAGCCTGCAGCTTTCTGTCTCTCCCTTCTTAAGGTGTCAACAGGAAAGAGCAGAGAGCGCGAGGAGCTGGCTTCCCAGTAGCGCCCACCCAGCCCTTTTCTAGTCCTGTTGCTCTCCTGAGAATGAGGCGGACTTTAGGGCCCAGCGGCGGGCTTCCGGAAGTGGAAGCCGCCGGCCGACCAGGCAGCGGCGCCAGAGGGTTTGAATCAGGCGCATGCGCGGGCGCGCCGCGGGGCGGGGTCTCGGCGGCGGAGGCCTGGCGGGTCAGGTAGGTGTCTGCGGCTGCGGGCGCCGTCTCGGGGCGGTCTCTGGCGGCGGCGCTAACTCTGCGCCCGCCCTCCTGATGGCGGCGCGCTGGCCTGGGCCATCCGACGTGGTAGTTGGGAGGCCTGCAGGGCTCGGTGCGGACCGCGAGGAGACCGTCGGGGCCGGGGTCCTGGGGCCCCGGATCGTGCGGTCCTTGCCCCTGGAGCGCTCTGCAAAGGCGAGGTGGGGCAGGCGCCCCCCACGGGGCACGCTCGGAACCTCTCTGCTCTGACTTTCCACATACGGGGACGGCCGTGAAATAGGGTGTCTTGAGGGTGAAGTGAGTCTGTCACCCTTGCCATGGTGTCCGGGCAGAGCCGAGCGCCCGGGCAAGTTGACAGCTTCACGATTTGCTTCGCGTACCCCCAAATTACCCACTTCTCCATGGCAGTCTCCTTACGCACCGGGTACCCCAGCTCGTGCGGAAGCGTCTTTATTGCCACGTGCTCACAGAGTTGTACGGAATATACTCATTTCAAAAGGTTAAACTGGCCAAGGCACTCCTCTTGCTAAAACACGGAGTGAGAGTCCCATTGTTTTAAGAATAAAATTTGGCTTTTGACAGCCTTACCTCACTTTCTCCCATCCCTTTCTTTCTGGACCATGCCTATATTAGGGTTAGTACCCTGTTAACACCTCCTGGCCTTTTGCAAGTTGGGTTCCATCTGTCTGCAACGCTGTTCACCTGTCTTAGCCTGCTGATCCTCGGGTCCCACATGCTGCTCCAGAAATGATTCCAAAGAAAGGTTATCCCTGTAAAATGTAATGAGCATCTAATCATCTTGACTTTTAAATTTTTTTTATGTGTTAATTTGTGCCTTTCGCCCTGAAGTTGAACTTGCCTAGGATAGACGCTGTAATTTGTTAACTCTTTATTCTCAGTTCTTAATTTTGCGTGCTACTGGGCTCAGAGGAAGGACCTCCATGAGGAGTTTGGTGCCCGGGTCTCAAAGGTCGGAGGAGCAGTGTAAATGTAGCAGAATTACTCAGGGTCTGCTCAGCTGGGGGTAGAGTTCTGATTGGAGTGCTTTTCTGCATCAGCTGTGTGTGTGTGTGTGTGTGTGTGTGTGTGTGTGTGTGTGTGTGTGTGTGTGTGTGAATGGGTATGCAGTTGTGGAGTGTCTTCCTCTTGCTCTCTGCCCTATTGTGGTGAGTCAGGGTCTCTCACTGAAAGGGAAGATAACAGTTTCTTCCAGGGTGCCATTGAATTCTTGAGACCTGCTTGTCTCTACCGCAATGTTGGGGTTACAGGTATACGAATCATGCTGGGCTTTTAGGTGGGGATGGGGTGATGGGGATTGCACACCCACTGAGCCAAATCTCTAACTCTCCATGGACATTTTTTTTAAAGTCCTTAATAAAACCTCTGATGACATTCTGAGTTGCTGTCTAGTGAAAGGATTTTATAAGATTTCTTTTTCATCTTGGTGCAGTGTTTGCCAAATCTCATTGCCTCACCTGCCTCCCTAGTTTTTATCCTCTTTACACATATGCTATTTTTTATTTACACATATGCCATTATTTATTTGAATCCACTACTATGCAAATACTGTCTTTTACAAAGTAGACTTTATGTTGCCATTGTAGCTATAATGGACTCACAAGCTACAGTCTGCTGACAGGGAATCCACAAGTGTTACAGGGGCCCACCACTGTAGTTCAAAAGCGAAATGCAAAGCATTTTTTTTTTTTCAGCACTACAGCTTTCTCTTTGACTTAAGCAGAAACTGAATTGGAATGGGAAGGGAGGTGCTCTCGCATGTGGTCAGTCAGTGGCAGGTCCCAGGTGTCCCCACTGGAGGAAACACCAATGCTCTGAATCAGGGCTGGGACTGGGGTGGGTAGAGGGGGTGTACCTATATTGTAATTCTCTGTTGACATCACTTACTGCTACTGTGACTTTGGACTTCTGCTCTCCTGGGCACTGCCTGATAAACCACTGAAAGAAAGTCCTTGTCAGACTGGGCCTTGGGAACTTTTAAAAGATTTCAGAAGGAACCTGGTCCTGTATGAGGGAGCAGTAAAATGTGATGCTGACCAGATCCAGTCCTCCAAATTAGAAGTCATTTCCTGCGTGATCTTGACATTTACATCACAGCAGCCCTTCTTCAACAGGCGAAGGACCTTGTTTTCATAATGAGGTTGGTAACCTGGGGGACAAAATGACAAGGTACAATTTCATTAGTATGTCACAAAGGCTATTTGCCTCCAGTGGTAAACAGCCCTCCAGCATAGTTTTGAATGTCAGCAATCTCCAGACTGAAACTATATGTAAAGCCTGAACCACACAATGGATTTTGTTTTCTGAGAAATGTCTTTTTCAAAGATTTTTATTTGTGTTATTTTGCCAACTTGTTCTAGTTATTGGTAGGGATGCCACCCCCAGTGTGGCTCTAGAAATGTAGACAAGACTAAAAACTTGAGAAATTGTCTAAAGAATTTAGAGTCACTAGAGTCCTCAAGGTTCCAGGATTCAGATTTATTATACAGGCCATGGTCGCTGTATCCACGTGGGGAAGAGATAGATGAGCATCTCTTTGGATTCTGCAAAAGTGGGCTCCTTGCAGCAGCCAGCATGTGAATGATGAAGACCAGCATGGCGGTCTGCAAGGATGACACAGATCAGTGAAATATTTCATGTATTGGGAAGGGGGAAAAGACTGAGGTTTGGGGGTGCACTCCTATAACGCCAGTGCTGCAGCTGGAGGAGCAAGAGGGGGTGTTCAGAGCAAATCTGGACTGCAAGGCAAGACTCTGGGGGAAAAAAAAGCAGACCGCTCCTTTCTCATGCTGGAAGCAGAACCATTTCTCACCCCAATTCTGAGACCTGCTCTTCGCTTTAGAATAGAGAATGAATGTAGAGAGAAAGTCCAAGTACTTAGTTTCGTTAATTTTTTTATTTTGAGCAGCGCTTTTTGACTGATTTGGTTTCACTGACTTGGAACTCATCAGGAAGGCTAAACTGGCTAACCACTGACCCCAGAGGATCCATCCAACCCTTGCAATCTGCAGTCTGCCACTGAAGTAGATACTTCTGACAACCCACCCAGATTAAAGGGGGGGGGGAGGGGGCAGAGAGAGATGGCTCAGCAGTTAAGAATATGTACTGCTCCTCAGAGCCTAACTTGGTTCTCAGCATCCATGCAGGGGTAGCTTACCACCACCTATGATTAACGCTAGGGGGATCCACGGCCCTCTTCCAGCCTCCTGCGATACCTATGCCCTTTGTAGACACAGAATTTAAAATAAATTTTTATTGTCTTAGTTTTGAAATAGTCTCGATACTTAGCTTATGCTAGACTCAAATTTACTATATTATCCAGGCTAGCCACAAACTCAAGATCCTTTTGCCTCAGCCTTGAGATTATAGGTGTGAGCCACCACACCAGCCTGAGAACTCTCAATTGAAGATTCTGTTACTAAATTCCTGGCTGAAGGAACCTGGCAGGCCTTGCCCCTCCCCCATTCCCTCTGTTTTTGCTAACCTGTTGGATTACATTCCTAAAGCTAGCCACCCCAGAGTTTTTCCTTATTTGGTCACTTCCTCTTCCTGAAGTCTCAGGATCCAGCTATCAAAGTATTAAAGTCTAACAATCAAAAGCCCCCTTTTGATTACCTTAATTAACATGCCCAATCAAAACAAACCAGCTCTCCTAACAAGGGGCTTTGCCTTTGTAAACCGTTTGCTTAGGGCCTACAGTCTGTCTCCTCTCTATCCAGAGGCAATTCTTTGTCCCTTTGGGACAAATAAAATCTCCTTTGTGCTGAGAACTTGGTCTTGGGGTGTCTTGTACAGATTGTGGTCCTTTTTCACTTGCTACATTGGTTTAGAATTTAGGGAAGTGAGAAACTCATCCCGAGTTTTTCTTTATGTGGTCCTTTTAAATTTATAGGATTAAGTAGTCCCTTCAGAGCAAATCGGCCTGCTTAAGTAGTTCTGCTCTAGAGTCTAGAATAAAGGGTGTCTGTTAAAATAAAAAAATATACAAGCAAATTCAGAAACCCTACACCTGAGCTCCTTGAAGTAAAGTCTCCTGTTGCGAACTGCCCCGTGCACAGTACACCTGTCACAGTTGGGTCGGCTGGGACAAGCTGGTTTCTTAACCCATGTAGATGAGAAACTGTTTAGGAACATACCTAAACAGAGTTCTCAGAGCCTCTAGAAATGAGTTGGACGCCATTGAAACTACCACAAACCTTTTAGAAAGCAGATTCGAGTTCAAAATACATGCAGAGCTTAGGGTCATCTATTACTGAAGGAGCAGGTGACCCCATCCACTCTACAGCCCCCACACTTTGGCTGATAAAGTGGTATTCCGGGCTGTTGAAGTTAAGTGTAACAGTGAGCTATGAAGGCTGTCTCATGCTCTCTATATAAGAGCTCCTTGGAATGTGTTATTTTCAGTAGAAACCTTGTGTGAACCAACGGGAATTAATTGAAGATGGGTAAGGGAGAAATTGTGAAAAGTGATCAATACCTTAAAGTTTTATATGGTTTTTTGCTGGGCGGTGGTGGTGCACACCTTTAATCCCAGCACTCAAGAGGCAGAGGCAGGCAGATCCCTGTGAGTTCAAGGCCAGCCTGGTCTTAGAGAGCAAGATCCAGGACAGGTACCAAAACTACACAGGGAAACCCTGTCTTAAAAAAAAAAAAAAACAAAAAAAAACAAAAAAAAAAACTATGTTTTTTGTTTTAGCTTAAAATATGCATGTGTATTCACTTGAAAACCTGATGTATAATCAAGTTTTCCTACTTCTGAGATTTGGGGGGTTCTGGGTTTTGTTTTTTTTCTGCTTGTTTTTGTTTTTGAGTTTTTGTTTGTTTTTTAGTTGGTGAGGGTTACAAGTTCCTGGGAGTACTGCCTTTTGTCTTGGTTTACCCTACTCATAATGTATCCTCTTCAGCTGTGAAACAAGCCTTGAAGACGCCCAGACCATAGGAGATGTATTTCTGAATATTTATTTTAGTTTTCCTCAGAGTTCTGTACTAACCTGGCATTGCATGAGGAGGCTGGGGGCGGGGTGTGTGGGGAGAACCCACTTAGCCTTTTACTATTTAACTTGAATGCATTTTGTAGCCTGTGGAGGGGCCCAAAACAGCTTGACCACACAGCAGCCATGACAGACTTAAGGGCCTAGACACAGCTTCTGTGACAGGCTTACTGGCAAGCAACACCCAGATCCAGGAAAAGCTGATACCAGCCAGGGATCTACCCAGGGGTGAGGAAGTACCTAGCGTCCCAAACATTCCAGCCATTAGATAAGGTGGCCAGATGCCCTTGAATCTAGCACACAACCTATTTTTGTTTTACTGATACCCTTAGACAGTTGTCAGCCAGTCAGGGTCCTGAACCCTGGAAATCCCCTTTCCCCAACCTCTGCTATGATAAAAACCCTACCCCATTTGAGCTCAGGGCTCTCTTCTCTCATTGCTGCGTCAGACAGACAGAGAGACCAAGCTCGGAGCTTGAAAGAATAAAAGATCTTTGCTTTTACATGCAGGATTGTGTCTCCACGGTGGTCTTTTGGGGGGTCCCCATGATCTGGGCATAACATAGGCAACTCCGAAAGTCCATAGATCTATATTTTGCTCTTCTGAGAGCAAGAGAGTATAAATTAGACCACCTGTGTGATTTGGAAACTGAAAGTGTTTGGCTTCAGTTCAAGTTCTGGCCTGCAGGTTTCAGTCATTGAGTCGTGGCATGGCCAGTAACATGATGATCTGAAATGAGTTGGGTCCTCATGGTGGTGCCTATAAACTGTACACACACAGGGAAGTGGTCATTTGGCGTTCCTCTCAGAGGCTTGCCTAAGCTAAGTAGGTTCCTGGCTTTGGAAATGTAAGACGTAGCTGTTTCTGAAGTCTTGTGGGTTTCTGTACATACGTGAAGATAAATTTGTAAATTCTACTTTTACTTTAAAAATTGGAGTGTGGACCAGCAAGATGGTGTAGTTAGTAAAGGTACTTGCTGCCAAGTTTGACTTGCTGTGTTCAATCTCTGGGACCCACATGGGAGAGAGAGAGAACCGACTCCCTCAAGTTGTTTGCTGACCTCTGTTTGCACCCCTTTCTCTCAACAAATAAATATTTATATTTGAGCCAGGAAGTTGGTTCAGTGGGTAAAGTGCTTGCTACCAAGCCTGATAACCTGAGTCTGATCCCTGGGTTCCGTGTGGTAGGAGAGAACAGACTCCTGCAAGTTGTCCTCTGATTTCCACATTATGACACAGACACATGCGTACCACTCCCCCAACATAGAGCTAGCAATTCCTATACATAATAACAAGTACAGTGATTATTTTTTAATTAATGGCGAGCTTGCCTAGCAAGCACAAGTTCAGTCCCCCCAAAAAACAAAATAAAATGAAAAATGAACATGGTCAGAATTATTCTTTAAAGTTTCTTAAGATGGCCTTAACCTTAAATCCCTTCCTAGGGCCTCTCAGACCAAGGTCTAGCTAGGAAGACAACAGGAAGAAGGTGACTAGGATGCTTCCTTTAGTCTGTCAGCCCCTCATAAGAGATCCCGGGGCTGGGTAAGTGGCTCAGCCTCTGGTGACAGAAGTGTGCATGTATTGCGGTCTCATCTGACCAGAATTTGAGAGCCGTGAAGTTATGTTGCCAGTTGCCTATTAAGTAGAAAGTAATGCTTCCGTCATTCCTTTTCAGAAGTATAATGTCCCAGGAGAGCAGCTATGGGAGGTGGACGATATCCAGTAGTGACGAAAGCGAGGATGAAAAGCCCAAACCTGACAAGCCATCAACATCCTGTCTCCCCCAGGCAAGGCAGGGGGCAGTGAAGGAGCCCACGTACACCTGCTCAGAGGCCCGCAAGGCTGCGCACAAGAGACAGCTCTCACCTGTGAAATTCAGCCACACAGACTCAGTGGTACCGCCCAAAAAGCCAAAGAGCGATTCCACAGAAGGTCTCGGCTGGTGTCTGTCCAGCAGCGATGATGAACAGCAGCCAGAGACACAGCAGGAACAGCCTAAGCGCATGGTGGTTCAAGAGAAAAAACATGTCTCCTCGCCCAACGTGACCACTGCCCAGAAAGCTGTAGATCGCAGCCCTCCTGCCAGCCATAGGCCTCAAAGGGCAGACGATGAGTACGAGACCTCAGGGGAAGGCCAGGACATCTGGGACATGCTGGATAAAGGGAACCCCTTCCAATTTTACCTCACTCGAGTCTCAGGGATTAAGGCCAAGTACAACTCCAAAGCCCTCCACATCAAGGGTAAGGACAAGGGTTCTTAGGAGCTGGTGAGCCCTTTCCCTCTTGGTAAAGCAAGGGGGCCCAGCTTAGAATGGCCTTTAAGAGCCTGTCTTAACAACTGGTGGGGAGGGTTGTTGACCCTGAGTGCATGTGGCAGACAGGTGGGGTTCCAAGGGTCCTTCTCAAGGCCCCTGTAGCTCAGCCCCTAGTAACGCTTGGCACTGTGCTTAGAATTGTTTACTTTTCCAAGTGAAGACTAAACTTGACTGGTAATGCTATTTATTAAGTGCCATAAACTTCACAGTGGCTCCATATGGTCCCTGGGTCAGCAGCATCAGAATCACCTGGACCTTGGAAATGCCAGTTCTCGGCTCTGTCTTAGGTTCATCAAATCAGACTCTCAGGGGTCAGAACCTGCCACCTATGCTTACTCTAAGCCCCCAGGGATTAACAATGCCTAGTGATGTCTGAGAGCCTAGTTTGGGTTCCTAGGACAAAGAAGCAAAAATGAGTACTGTTGTATGCAGGTGGATGCTTCAGGTATGAGGTAGAGAATGGTCTCTAGTGGTTCTCTGCATTCCACGGAGGAACAGCCAAACATGTGGACTCAAAGGGCACAGATTCCCTTTTCGTCCCTCATTCTCTCTGTGGTTAGGACAGTATGGGATGAGGATTCAGAACAGAGCAGATATGTGAAGTGAGCAGCATGTATTTGTATGGCTGTAGACACAATAAGCATCCTCTCACATTAACGTGTTTTTTGTTTTTTTTGTTTTTTTTTTTTTGGCTAATATTCACAGCACAGAATATTCTCAATGTAGTTTTTCCATATCAAATGCATGGTAGTACCTCTGTTCTCCTGTATGATGTGTAAATGTTGATGGGTTTAATTCCATAGTCGTAAGTCCAACTCCACAAAATTTTGAGCATCTCTTATGTAGGTACCCTGAAGATATATAAGATAGTTTCTGGTGGGTTTGCTTTGTCTGGGAGAGACTGCCATAGGAAGCAGAGGGGTATGGAAAGACTGTTCAATGTAATAAAATAGTAACAACTTGGTGTCAGCATCAAGATTTAAGGAGGAGATGACATCATGAGGGTTTTACATATGTTTCAATTATCAGAGCAGCCTAATAAGATGATCAAATGTCCTTGGACATGTGACAGATCTGCAGTTCAGAAAAGTTACATCACTTACCCAAGGTCACAGAGCTGTTAAATGGTAGAGCCGCACTTGAATCCAGTTCTTGTATCTAAATCCATGCTGTTTGATGTATCCTGCTAACGCTAGCCATAACTGTAGGTTCTCTAGATCTCATGGAGGACAGGGGCTTCCAGTGGACCCTGGAAGATGGGTGAAGTTTAAAAGCTAGAGGCGCAGATGGGGGCCAGCTGGAAGACTGTGTTGCAGCTTATCTCCTAACTCTGCTGGCCTCAAAATGAGGAACTTTCCTACTAGTTGTTTTGTTCCTTCAAACACTTCTTAGCCCCACATCTGGCACAATGTCTAGAGGACTGCTAGAGTCACAGAAATGTAGCAGGAGTTCAGCAGAATATGGTAAAGCTATATCTGGAGGAATGCGGGGAATTCTTCCAAAGGAGCCCAAGTCTCAAGGAGTATTTGGTGTTATTTGACTTTTAATATATCAGCTGTTTCCTACTATGAATTTTTTGTGTGCTCTCATACCTTCCCCAAGATCTTCTAATAGTGTATATACTTTTGTAGCATCCAAAGCCAAAAGGCAGACAGGACAAAGCATTTCATTCCAACTGCTGAGTCTCCTGAATTAAGGTAAACACCCTTACGGAGACACTGCCTGTCTCCTAAGCCTAGGTGCATAGCTTTGTTTCTTGTGCAAATTAAGCTCAGACTCTCCTTTCTTATACAGCCTTAGTGGTATTTATACTAATATTATAGACGCCACTTCTAGGAATGTAATTTGAGCACATAAATTCCCTTTTTCTGATATATTAACCGATTTTAGCTCTTAGTTGACCTCCTCCCTTAACCACTCCCCTTTTGGGTTGTAAAAGAAAGCAGGACAGTCACTGCCTGAGGAAAACTCTTATCTGCCTTTATGACCCTGTAAGAATTCAAGCCTGGTGACCTTGCCTTAGCCGGATCATTGCTATTGCATGGGTATATAACTGTAAGCCTCAGATACTTGGGGGACTAGATTGGAGAACTGGATGGAGAACTAGAAGGACAAGATGGGAGATGAGGAAGAGCCTGATGGGGAAGAACTAGGTGGGTAAGAACGAGATGAGAAAGACCAAGATGGGGCAGAACTAAGATGAAGGAATCAAGATAGCACTTAGAGGGAACAGCAGAACGATGTAGAGAGAATCGGGCAAGAAAGAAGCTAAATGTGAGAACAGAATAGAAGCGGTGTAGAGAGAGAACTGACTCAGAAGAATAAAGTGTATGGACTAAAGAGTTTATTAGAGAACTATAGTTCACTAATAAAGTGTACGTAGATTTATTAGTGAACCCCTCAGGTTAATCCACCACCAGTAGCACCTCTTCTGGAACTCTGGGTGAAGGCTGTCGAGGGTCAGGACCCCAGTATCTTTCATTAGAGGACAGAAAAGTACCCAGTAACTGTCAAATAAGTGAACTAGCCCACTTCCTTCTCAGAAGCAACTCAGTAGGTACCAGCAACCTAGAGCCATACATCAAACCTTAACTCCCTGACCTTCCAGCAGTGTGGTCACATACAGCCTCCTCCTGATATGATCCTTACCCCAAAAGGCAGAGTAACACCTTACCTCGGAATCCCCAGGAGGTTGAGTTCATTTATTGAAAGTGCTGAGAACGATGTCTGTCCCCTAAGAAGTGCTATACCAGTGCAAGATGGTGGTGTAGTTAATGAACCATGCCCTTTCTTTTCTGTCCAAAGTCAGGCTTGAGGGCAACCAAGTGGGATGTCCTCAGAGGTGACCTAGAGTACCAAGGATGTGAGTGTACTGTTTTGGGAAGCCAGTGCTCTCTGGCTACAGGGGAGCACCACTGCGGACTTAGATGGGACAGAAGGAGGTAAAGATTCAGAGGTCCATGGAGAAGAATGGACGTAATTAATGTGCATCAACAGAGTCCAATATTAAGCAGTCATCCAGGACTTAAGTTTTAGATTTTAGTTTTGTATTCTACTTTGTCAAGGAATGTGATAAATATTATGTCGTATAAAGAAATGTTATCTTGAGTTTTACAGAATATTACAACCTAGCCTTGAAGTAGCTTTTCAGTTTACTCTTTTCTTGATTGTCACTGGCTGCTGCTGGAAAGGGTAGTTGTTATAGAGGGTTTTTATCTGAGAATCCATTTGTTTTGTCTTTGTAGATATTTTATCCCCTCTGTTTGGGACCCTTGTCTCTTCAGCTCAGGTGAGTTTATAATAAGTTGCCTTTTCTTTGGGTGAGGAGAGATATGTGACAGGAGATGGGCTTCTCGGTCCTATACAGTGTCCCCTAAGCTGGCTTCTGCCTGGAGCCTGGCCATATTGTGGGATCTATACACAGCAGTCTCTCACGTGGCCCTCATCAACAGAGAGCATGGAGGCCACTCAAAAGGAAACACCTGACTCTTGATCAGGCCACAAGGCCTGGCCAAGAAGTCACTTCATATTCCTCCCTGAAAGAGTCAGGGAGGTACCTCCAACTTCATGGGATGCTGGTGCAGTACCCTGGGATGGGTGGGTGGCATGGTGAAGACCAAATGTTGTTTGAATACTAAACGGTCTTATTAATCTAAACAGTCTTATTAATAAAAAAAAACAAAAAACTCGGTACCAGATATTGGTGTAAATGCTAAAAGATCAGAGAGACAAAGGAGCAAGCCACTGCCACGTCTCACCTTGCCGATTCCACGAATCCTCTGACTGAGATCCTCTGAGTCCTCACCCAGAAGGCTCCAGCCAAAAAAGCTTCTAGCTGAAAGGGGCGCTTCTGCCGAAAAGTCTTTAGTTCCTGTCTCCTCACGCCTTATATTCCTTTCTCTGCCCAGCCATCGCTTCCTGTCTCATCCTTCCTAGTGCTGGGATTAAAGGTGTGCGCCACCACTGCCTGGCTGGCTCTGTTTCTCTCCTAGACTGAGTCAGTCTCATGTAGTCCAGGGTGGCTTTGAACTCACAGAGACTCACACTGATCTCTGCCTCCCGAAGGCTAGGATTAAAGGTGTGCACCACCACTGCCTGACCTCTACGTTTAATCTAGTGGCTTGTTCTATCCTCTGATCTTCAGGCATATTTTATTAGGGTACACAGTACATCACCACAGCCAAGTCAGGTTTGATTTGCGTAGAAAAATGGATGCTCTGCACTGACTAGGAAGGAGTAGAATTTGTGACTATTTCTGCATGTTCAAGGGTTCTTGCTGCACTGAGCTGGTCCCTTGGTGCTAACAAGTCATCATAACGGTCCAGAAGCTCAAGGACTAGTCAGAAAAAAAGGGTCTTGTTCCTGAAGCGAGCAGAGGTGCCACCTTCCTGTAGGATGTGCTCCTGATCTCTAGATAGAACCAAAGGGGGTGCGTCTGTGCATTCTTTCCCAGCTAGACTTGAGCTCCTGTGCCCAGGACTGGCCAGGCATGAAGAAGAGGCCTCCTCATCAATAAAACGCTCTGGAACTTGCGGTCAGTAGCTACTAATTAGGAACAAGTTAGAGTGTACCAGGCTAACTGATAAGTTGTGCTGGAAGGACATGGCCTTTCCTAAAAGTCCTGGGATCTTTGTCTCTGACAGCTCAGGGGAGCTTTGGGAGCGTGGACTGCTAGGAATGATGTAGTAACACCACTGACAAACAGAAATGTTGCCAACGTATGTGCAGATACTATCCTTAGAGCCTATTTGGGGCATTCGGCAGATTCCTTTAACCAAGTGTTCTTGAAGGTGAAATTTGGGGTTACTTTTGCATATCGCTGTCTAACTGACTAGGTTTATGAACACTGTAGCATGTGGTTGCTTTAGAGATCCTTTCAGTTTAGTAACAGTCCTTGTGAACATACATGTGGCTGACTTACTTTTTTTTCCCCCCTGTCTAGTTTAACTACTGCTTTGATGTGGACTGGCTCGTAAAGCAGTATCCACCAGAATTCAGGTGAGTCGCATGGTTCCAGAGTGCAAATAGTGCAGACTTGCAAAAAGTGCTAGACTTGCACTTCTCAGACTAGCCACCCATCTCTCTGTATTTCACTTGACAGAATTGTAAAAAGAAAACATTTGTTTTGGGAGAACAGCATTTTATTCATTTAGTTAGTTTTGGGGGTGTGTGTGTGTGTGTGTGTGTGTGTGTGTGTGTGTGTGTGTGTGTGTGTGTGTAGGCTTGAGTGTTGATCTTCAGGAGCCATCTCCTCTCTTCTTTTATATTTTATTTTATTTTATTTTTTGAGACAGGTTCTTTTGCTGACCCAGTGCCAGGGATCTACCCATATCCACCTCCCCAGCTGTGGATTACAGGTGCACAGCACCATGTCCGGCATCTTTTGCACGGGTTCCGGAATCCACTCATGTCTTCATGTTTACAGTGCAAACCCTTCCCAAATGAGTTACCGCCTCTGCTTGAGACCACTTTTCCCCTAGTTAATCACACACATTCTTTTCAAAGACTCAGTGTTTTCCACTTTGCTCTGTCCTGGAAGTAGATAAGGACAAATTCCAACTCAAGTAACAACTTCATGGGCAATGTTAATGTGAAGGAAACAGTCATCTCTGTGTGGTATCTAGATGTGTATGTGTGCCCAGACATGGCCAGCATGCCACACTTGGCTCAGAACATCAGAGCTGTTACTTTCTAATGGTCTGTATGTGCCAACCCAAATGATTCTTCCAGAACTATATCTGGAGTCAAGAAAGGGGGTCATGACCGTCCTTTACCCAAGCTCTCGAGGTACTGTCAGACTTTCGTGCTGCCTCTGGCAACCCTTCAGCCTCCTGTGAGGCAATACAGACCAAGGAAACAGCCATGCATGTTACACAGGGCCATTTGTGTTCGTAACACAGATTTGTGCAATCCTCTAACAGTAAGTAGGATGGAGGAATACACAACAAGAAAGAATGCCAGCTTCATGGAGACCCCCGTGCTTTTAAGGCATCATTGCGGAAACCTCGGGCGTTAGTGTAAAATGTGGAGATTTCCGCAGCAGCTTTGGCACTCAAGGGCTGGTGTTTGGTTGACTAAAAGAACATTCGCTGTAGTTGCATATTAACAGAAAGCTCAAACTAACAGTAGCTTAAATTAAAAAAAAAAAAAATAAAATCTTTGCAGCCTAAACTCCCAGTGGTAGCCGTCTGTGATATAGACAGAGTACCAGGGCTTTTTGTGTGACTCAGCTACCCACCTCTTCTGTCATTCTGTTCCACCGTCCTGGTGTTTGTCTTCAGTCTTCAGAGTTACCTCACGGTCCAGGATGACAACCTAAGCCCCAGTCCACTTGTCTGTTTTCTAGGTAGCAGAGAAGAGGAGAAGAAAGAGTGGACTCATACTCCTTCCATGCCACTCTGAGCTGGCCTGGCTGGTCCCGAGTCTCTTCTGTTTTGTGGAACAGAGCTTAGTCACGTGATACTAGCCATCTCTAAGGCTAGATAGGTAGTCTTCTAACTGATCCCACCTTGTCCTACAGGAAATCAGGGTTCTGTTAAGAGAAGCAAGACTGGATGTATGGAAATAACTTGGTGCCTGCCCCCAGCTCTTCTTGGCAGTGTTCCCCAAGTGTTACACTGTTGCTTTCTGGTCTATTGGTGAAATTATTAAGGCCACTCCACGTAGTTAAAAGGGAGGTTTATTTTGCGGGCTAACTTACAAGTGAAGGGATAGGTAACAGGGTCTGGGAAAGGTGTATGTAGCACAGTCCGGCGGTGTTCTTTGGAGAACTCTGCTCGGTCTCGCTCCAGCGTCCAGGGTCCAGGAACCAAGAGAACTGGCCCATTCAGATCTCAGGTCTTCAGGGTCCTCTCTGAGCCCCGCCTTGTAGGCGTGACAGTTACCGAAGCCTCAGTGGGGGTTGGAACTTCCAGATCAAAGCTGCACTGGCTACCCACTACACTGGTTGTTTTCCCTTTGCTTCTCAAGGACCTTGAAATCCAATGTCACCTTTCCACAGTATTGACCAAGTGTGGGCTATAATTCCTTCCGTGCCGCTTATGGATTGAATTGATCTTTGGATTTCTACGCCTCAGTACCTCTGCATGTGACTATATTTATAGGTTGAGTCTTCACAGAAATCATGAGTCAAGTTGAAATGAGCTCACTGGGAGGCCACTAATCCAACGTGCTGGCACCCTTATAAAAAAGGAAGTAGTTGGACATAGCGACAGAGAGGGTGAAGTCACAAGAATGCCATCTGTAAGCCAAGCAATCCTTGAGGCCCCCAGAAGCCAGAGTGAGGCTGGCCCAGGTTCTTCCTCAGTTCCCTGCAGGAGCCCCACAGCAGGCTGCTAGCACCAGCTCTCAGGCTTATTGCTTCCAGAACTGCAGCGCTCCAGATTTCTGTGGCATAAGCCTCTGGGTTTGGGCACTTTGTTGCAGCAGTCCAGCAGAGTCAAAGGATACAGTCCTCTCTACTCCCTTGTTAGCAGATGCATCTTGGGAAAGCCGTGAAGATACTACAAGAATGACCTAAATGGTGATTTTGAGAAACATCCAGAGTTAGATTGTGGAGCAGTGCAGGTGATGAGGCTGTGCGTCTCACTGTGTCCAAGTGTCGCCCTGCTTCAGGAGTCCACACAACAACCAATATGAAGGCGTGAAGGAGCGCCCCAACATCTGTCCTTAGTGCTTAGTGTTCTGATACTTGACTGGCGTGTGACCCGGGAACACGAGCATTTCTTACATTGCCCTCCGTGCGGTTTGCTGGCTGTCTTGTCTCTTTCTAAGTAGGGAAGCATTGGGAATGCTTGTCTGCACGTGTGTCTTCGGTTTGGCTGCCAGTCCCGCTAGAGCAAAGCGAGCTAGAGGAAAGCGAGCACGGGCATGAGGAGGTCAGACAACCTCTGAATGGGCATACCTCTGAATGGGTGTACCTCTGAATGGGCGTACCCCTGAATGGGCATACCCCTGAATGGGCATACCCCTGAATGGGCGTACCTCTGAATGGGCGTACCCTGTGGTGCTTTTCCAGTTCAACGTTGCCTTCCGCAGTATAGCATAAGTGCGGCTGCTGTTGTTTATCTTGCTTGGGTGCTTGCTGGAGAAAACTATTTTTCTTGTTTGGGGAGAGTTTACATTGACTTCTAAGGATTAGCTGAACAAGATGAAGTGTCTCTTAAAAGTCTTTTTTCAAGCCAGGTAGAGTGGTTTGTGTCTGCATTCCAGCACTGGGGAGGCTGTAGAAGAGGATTACAGAGTTTGAGACTAGTCTGGGCAAAACATCGAGTTAAGGCCAGCCTGCACTATGTAGTAAGACCCTGTCTCAAAATAAGTAAACAGAAAAGGTCTTTTGGATGTGTTCTAAAGAACGTTTTTATAGGCTTTAGAATTTGAAAAATGTGCAGTGTAGTTAGGGCTCTAGTTCACTGACTAACTGCCTGTCAGCAAGTCTGCACCTTGCTGGGGGCTCGGGACTGTTTGCTTTTGTGTCCTGGATCTTGCACAGTACATAGAGCATGTACTAATCCTTGGTAAATAGGCGCAGGGTGAAATATAAAACAATTATTGGTTTAAGACAAGGAAGAAAGGAAGCATCACTGTGTAGCAAAATTGTCTATTTTTTTTTTTTTTACTAATTTCTTCACATTTCTTTATCTTGTGTGTGCAAGCATGTATGTGTGTGGGTATGCACATGCCGAGATTCACTGGTGATTAGTGGACGAGTTGTAGAAGTTGGTTCTCTCCTTCTCCCATGTGAGTTCCAGGGCATCAAACTGAGGTCATCAGCCCTGTCGTCAAGCACCTTTGCCCTCTGAACCATCTCACCAGCTCATATCTTCAGTCGACTCCATCTGAAACAAGAGCACAGAACCCGCTGTGTGCTCTTTTGAACCAAGGAAGACCAATACTCAAGAACTTTGTAGCGTTGTAACTCGCCTGCATCAGTCACCAGGCTTAGGAACTCATGAGTGAGCACTGCTGTCATATGTTAGCCACAAAGTCAGAAACGAACGGCAGGGACTAGGCATCCCTCAATGAAGCAGGAAGCCAGCTCGGTGAACAATGCATTTTAACCACCCCTGGTCTCTTTTCAGGAAGAAACCCATCCTGCTCGTGCACGGCGATAAGAGAGAAGCCAAGGCGCACTTGCACGCCCAGGCAAAACCCTACGCAAACGTTTCCCTGTGCCAGGTGAGCTGCTCTGCCTTGACCTCATGCTCGGTCTGCATTTGGTTGAGTCCATCCTTGCCCTCTGGGCAGCGACCCTCCCTTTAGCTTCACCAACAGACACTTGTCTCCTTCTGGCTCAAACACCTCTGAAGTAACTCACTCCGCTAGCAGGGACTCTCATGGTCGCAAAGTTTTTCTTTATCTTGACTTGGAAGTCTCCCTCCTAGTGCCTGCTACATGTTGGTGCAGATTTCCTGCTCTCTGGAACCACACAGAGCGGTTCACATCTTGCTGGCTCACGCAGAGATTCCTGCATCAGAGGTCAGCTGTCCTCTTCCCATGGGCTGTCTCAGGCTGAGCTCTCTCTCCCTTTGTGTTCGGGGAAGCATGCGTCTCCACCCTGGCCAGCTAGCACTCGGTTGTGCTTCTTGTGGCCTAGGTTTCAGCATGGGACAGGTCTCCCGGACACAGTCCAGTGGCTGTGGCTCTCTTTGAATGTAGCTGATGACTGTGCTTCCGTGACACTTCTGACTTCTGTTAGCCACCACCGGCACCTTAATTGTCCTAAATCCCTTTTCACATCAGCCAGAGAAATGGAGAGGCCCATAGATTAAAAGCCTGGTAGGAAACTGAAGGGGGTGCATGAAAGCCCAGCCCAGTGAAGGAAGGGACATGGAGTGATCCCATACTGGAACCAAAGCAGAGTGGAAGATGGGACACCAGAAGCCACTGTCCAGTTTCTCTGTATGTGCCATGATTTCGCCCTATGCTCGGTCACCAGCCTGCAGTGTGACTGGTTAATCTTGGGCTGTTGTTATAGCAGTTCCTTTATACACTACATCTAAAAGGATCTCTTTATTCCGTGTGTTATTTTGAGCAACAGGCAGGCAAAATGGGAAGAAAAGGAATTCAGGGGCTTTTGTTCAAAAAGCTTCCTTTCTGTGGAAAGGGTAGCTGAAGTAGCAGGTAGAAAACTCACCATTTCTGCCTCCATCAGCGTGGTTACCACCGTCCCTGAAGACCCACAGTGAGACACAGCTACAGTTTTCTCTCCTTGTCCTCGCTGTGGTACAGTGGGCTCAGGGTTTCTGTTCTTGGACTGCGGAGATGGCGTACTGGATAAAAAGTGCTTCCTGCACAAGCATGGGGACCTAAGTGTGATCCCTGCACCCACTTTAAAAGCCAGGGAGCTGCATGCATGTCTGTAGCCCTGGTACTGTTTGGGGTGCAGAGACCCAGGGGCTGCATGCACACCTGTAACCCTGGTACTGTGTGGGGTGGAGAGAGCCAGGGGCTGCATGCATGTCTGTAACCCTGGTACTGTGTGGGGTGCAGAGACCCAGGGGCTGCATGCACACCTGTAACCCTGGTACTGTGTGGGGTGGAGAGAGCCAAGGGCTGCATGCATGTCTGTAACCCTGGAACTGTGTGGGGTGGAAAGAGTCAGGGGCTGCATGCATGTCTGTAACCCTGGTACTCTGTGGGGTGGAGAAGGCCAGGGGCTGCATGCACACCTGTAACCCAGGTACTGTGTGGGGTGCAGAGACCCAGGGGCTGCATGGATGTCTGTAACCCCGGTACTGTGTGGGGTGCAGAGAGCCAGGGGCTGCATGCACACCTGTAACCCTGGTACTCTGTGGGGTGGAGAAGGCCAAAGGCTGCATGCACACCTGTAACTATGGTGCTGTGTGGGGTGGAGAGAGCCAGGGGCTGCATGCACACCTATAACCCTGGTACTGTGTGGGGTGGAGAGAGTCAGGGGCTGCATGCACACCTGTAACCCTGGTACTGTGTGGGGTGCAGAGAGCCAGGGGCTGCATGCACACCTGTAACCCTGGTACTGTGTGGGGT